AGTGTGAGAGTGTGAGAGTGTGAGAGTGTGAGAGTGTGAGAGTGTGAGAGTGGAGTGGAGTGGAGTGGAGTGGAGTGGAGTGGAGTGGAGTGGAGTGGAGTGGAGTGGAGTGGAGTGGAGTGGAGTGGAGTGGGTGGGTGGTGAGTGAGTGAGTGTGAGCGAGTGAGGGAGAGTGTGAGAGTGTAAGTGCATGTGAGAGTGCGTGTGTGTGTGTGTGTGTGTGTCTGTGTGCGTGGGGTTGGTGTGGGTGTGGTGTGGGTGGGTGTGGGTGCGTGGGTAGGTGGGTCCATCCTTCGGGTGGCGAGGGATGGCTTGGACTCTTCTGGCCTATGTGACGCGCTTTGTCCGCGGTGTCTGCGGGGTTTAGGGTTTGCCCGGGTGGTTTGCCTGCGGGCTCTGCAGTCCAGCCCTCGGGGGTGGGGCCTACCTCAGCGAAGTGCACAGCTGTTCAGCCGTTAGCGCCCGCAGCCACGCAGCCACAAGGCGATTCTGCCCTTTTCGCACAGGATTCCAGCGTGTTACAAGGCCACACATTGGAATCCCCATTTAATGGAATTGTGCGCGACAATGAACTCAAAATGGAATTCCAGCGGCTGAGATGGAAATAGTTGGAGCGATGGTCCAATCTGCACAAACTCCTCCCTGAGCACATGAAACGGCACCGGCTGCCATGCGATAGCCCGACGGTCTTTCGACAAGGTGTGTGTAAGTCTCCCTAGCAACGACCTGAGAAGCCATCAGCCCAGAGCGAAGCACGAGGGCACTGCCCGGAAAGACTGACAGCCTTGAGGGACCCGCCAGCCGCCCCGGAGCAAACAGCCGGTAAATCTACAATAGTGAAAGAGCTGAGTCATCTTCAGCCAAGATGGCTGCTATCTGTCTGTGTGGCATTTGCCTTGTTCTTGTTTGCCCTCTGCTCCTTTCGTCTCCGTCTTTCTCCCATACATTCTGGAGAACCCACCTCGCGGACCAAAACCTAGTCCGAAACTTCAGGCCTCCACTGCATCAGTGCTGCCGGAGGTGGCGTTCATTCTCTCGTCCTTGGAGATTTACACGGACAAGCAAGAAAGAACTTGAAAGGCTATGTTGTAAGTCGGCAGGCAGGTGATCCGCCAAACCAAATGACCATGGCAGTCTTGTCCTTCAAGCTGAAGTGCGGATTAGCAGTCTGCCAGTCTGCCGCGAAAAGCAGCTTGGAGCTGCGCGTCTGAGGGTTCTCGCGTATGAGCCACCTCCACCAATGCCCGTGCTGCCTGCATGGTGCCAACAGTGACTTGACCCCAATGTCCGCAGCACAGCATGCGAAGTTCTCGGCATCTACGAATCTTGAACACCCTTACTTCTCCCAGCCGTCGCACCCGCTCGGGAGCATCAGCTCCACCCTCGCGAAGCGGCCCAGAGGCCAGGCGCACGGCCTCTCAATCTGACATGAGAGATACGCCGCCATGGCCCATGGCCGTCCCGCGAACTTAGGAACTTGGCCGTCTCCGCCTCCACATCCGACACACTTCCGGTTATTCCGTCGGTTACGAGAATGAGCATGACCTGAGATCCGCCAGGGTCCGCGGGACAACCCGGAACCCCAGAAAGCTCGACAAACTCAGCCGCAGGTCGAGAGGGCCACCGCAGCACACAACCAAGTGAGTGCAACTTGCTGGCAAGCGTCGTCTTCCTTAATTTTCAAACGAAACTACACAGTGCGGCCCAACTAACAGCTGCATGTACATTCTACAAAAGCACATGCAAGAGTAGGAAAGCAGCTTCGGGGTCAATCGCAAAGGCTGACAGCTCTGGCCTCATTTGTGGCTGGCACTGCGAGCACACGGCTGTCTTCGAGCGTCTGAACAACTGCTATGGCAGATTAAAAAAAATGTATGCTTGCAGTTGTGCTGGTACCCGATCCCTAAGCCAGATAGGCTGCGAACACTGCAGTGATCACCTCGACCGGAACTTTGAAATCCACATCCTGGTGAGAGGAGGGCCGGGGGGCCCCGGAACACCCAAGGCACAGGAGACAAGTCGAAGGCAAAGGGCCCGACTCCAAACGATCGAGTCACAGACAAGCCGGCTGCAACCTGCCCGCGGGATTTCAGGATCACCTGAGCAGAAACCCGCTTCCAGCAAGCCAAGGAAAAGCTCCAAGCCATCTAAGCCCTCTGAGCCTCTACATGTTTAAGTCTAAGCGTGTCAGACGCATGCGAGCGTGGGGCATGCGATACTTGTTGCTTCATGCATCTTGTGCGCGGAGCCCAGAGTCTGAGTTCGACCCGAGCGATGGATGGATGCATCTGGATGCTTTCACATCAGGAGTCCGGCAGAAGATCCTGCACGTGTTCCGAGACGGGCTGCGCTGTTAGCGTGTTGGCTTCTACCTTTGGGAGCGACAACGTATCCTCGACCTTCTGCATTGAGTGAAGGTCTCCGGGACTTTCTGTTACCTTTGACTGCACCTGGACTGGAGAAGCTGCGGACATCGAGCTAGTCTCGGAGAGCGGATCCTCTTTGCTCGTGGTGGGCTGCTCAGTCCCGACGGCAGACTCCATGGAACGCTCGCGCACAGAATATTCCTCCACCGTCTCCCCAACCTCGTCCCACCACTCCTCCACTTGCTCGGATGCCCCGTTGTAGCTTGGAAATGACAAGCGGCTCAAACCAACAACTTTCCAGAGTCCGGCCCCACACTTCTCTTGAAGTTCATCAAAGTTGTTCTTCTTCTCAGCTTCCATTTCCAGTTCTTCACCTGGGTCACCTGGGCTGCGGAAGAAAGGAGCGGATCAAGTATCTGCCCTGACCTGCAAAGTTGCACAACAAAGGCTTTTTCAGGGTTCATGTGGCCTTGGCCAACGTGCAAATCAAAAGACTTCTCTCGCTCTACATCCGCGTCACACACTGCTAGGATTTCCTGCCATGAGTTCCGCTTAATCTGCGCCACGGCGGGTTGGATCGTGCCATAGAGAAGATGATCGGCTTCATGGACGAAAACTTCTAAAAAGGCCTTGACCACGTCGTTGTAGCTTACCAGGGCAGGTTTTAACTTGGGGCTCTGGGCCAGAAGCTCATGGGCCGGCACCTCTGGATTCCGCGCCTCCTCCTTCGCCACACTCGCCTGTAGAGCATCGGTGTCCTTGTAGAAGTCTTCGATCTCTCGCTTCACTTTCTTGAGAAGCTCTAGAGACTCTTGCTCGCGACGATGCTTCTTTTCGAGCTCCTCTTTTTGCTTTGCTGCCTCAATGACCTCAGCCTTCGCTATGTCGTGCGACGCGATGGCCTCATCTCGGAGCGTCTGCTGTTCTTCCAAAGCCGCACGAGCTGCATGCAGAGCTGAATCTGCCTCCTCGTGCCCTGACTTGTGCTTGTCAACAAGCTGCCCTGCTTCTTCAGCTTCTGCCCTCTTCGCCTCCTTTGTCTTCTCGGCTTCCTCAAGGGATGCCTCCTTGTCAGCCAGGCGCCGCTTCTTCTCCGCAAGGTCCTGCTCCATTGTCTGCTGCTTCTCCAGCATCGTCCTCTCCGACTTCTCGACATCCTCGCTCATCTTCCGCACCTCCTCCCTCACACCTTCGAAAGCCGCCAGAGCCTGCTCATAGTCCTGGCTCGACGTTGCGTTAGCCACCGTTGACTGTTCCAAAGCGAGCAGGGCTTGGTGCGCCCTCTCCTCCTGAGCACAGAGCTAACACGGATGCCTCTAGGCGACGTGCGTTCACCGCACATGTGGCTGACTCTCCAGGCCATGCTGCAGCAGGTCCCAGAATGATCAGCAGTTTACACTACACGACTCATGGCATTACGAAATGAGTTTTGCTCGGCTGTTTGCTGTAGGGGTCGGCGGGAAGAACACCTCATCATGAACAACTGCACACATTTGCACGGTGAATGTGCCTGTCAGGCCTTGTTTTGATGTTGCCTCTTAGCTTAATCAACCTCCACAAAGCATCTGGGATTCAACGATTGAGTCAAGTGAATGTTCACTTCTGGAGCTCCCGGTGCTTTGCCAGCGGTCTGGCGGGGTTGCTGACAGTTCCGCGATGCAGAATGAATCAACAGCAAGTGTAGCGGGTATCATCATCCGTGAGGAAGACGCAATTTCGGCAAAGGCAAGAACTACCTGTAGCACGGAATCACGGAGAATGCAGAGCGATTGCGTGAAACGGACGAGGTCCCCGGTGGACGGCCGAAGCGAGCCACCCCGGACCGCTGCGAGGATCCGGCGTAGGGCATCCGAGTTCGATTCCGGCTTTGCTCAGGCAGAGATCAATTTGACTTCCGACGCATTTTTGCTCGTGTCAGGGCGGTCTCGAGGTACTTCTCGCAACGTTTGTACCGGGGCCGTAATGGGGCGGCCCATTTAATCCGATGTGCCTCTATGATGCTTTTTTTTGGACGGCGGATTTGTTGTTGTGTTGCTTCCTTTCTGCTAATGGTCAATCTTAAGGCACCCACGACCTGAACCCCCCTCCAAACCGCAGTGAGTGACCAGCAACGCGGCGTTTCACCCCATTTCTGATCCCTGTTGCAGATACTGAGCTTTGTACAGGCCGGGTGTGGTGCCCCTTGGGGGCGGATGCCACAAACTGGCTCAATTTTGACGTCTCACGACTGTGGTCTTTCGTTGTTCATTTGATTGTTTCGTTGGCTTTTGGTTTTCTGTACAGTTGCTTTTACGCATGACCCATGCACTATGCACATCGCTTGATCCAAGACCCCTGTTTCTACGCTGCGACTGCAGTTGACATCAGCTTGTTTGCTGGCAGGGCGAGACACGCGATCGTAGCAATCAGCCCAGTGCGTGGAACTTGAAGAGGAAACTCCGGTAGCTGTCATTGCTGTTCCCTTGTTCGTTCTGTTTTCGGGACCACCCCGGTCTACCAGGCGAATTCGCCGGTGAAGTTGGAGGTTGTACAGTCTTTTTCCGCGGCGCCTCCCTCCCGGGGACGGGGGAGGGACACGATGGCGGCCACCGTGTGCGATAACGGGGTCACATTCTGGGGAGTCGTCGCGTCCCCACACTCGGCCTTTTTT